TGATTATTGTAAAAATAGATTTTAAATAATATATTCTTCTAAATAAAAAAAAAAGCTCGAATTTTTAACCATAATGGTCACCTCAGTTATAACCATAGTTATACCAMGCCCACGCACGGCACTACAAACGACGTAGCTTTGATTCCGGCTTAAGTATGAACAATTATTGGATCAAAAGGATATAAGTATCCGTGTATAAATTAGGCTGAAAAAGCGTTTTTTGCGTTTGCCAAATCATGCATCGCAATAATAAGACCAACCTTAACATACGGTWACAAAGCGTGGTCCAAACAAACTTAAAGAAGATTTAGGATGTTTAAAAACATATGACGTGGCAAAAAACATGCCTATGATRATGAAGCAACAGATCATTATAAGAGAGGATATAATAGGTAAGAAAAGCTGTATTACGATATGGTTGATGTGGTTTCATTCAAGGACAAAGGCTTCAATGGCCTGGACAAATTGAGGACTTCAGAGGAGAACGACAAAGTTAAATCTAGTAATAGAGTGGAAACCACTTGGAACGAGTCCTCGTAGAATACCTAGGAAAAGATTAATTGATTTAGTCGAAGAAGACCAAAGGAAGATGAAAATGGACACTCAGAGAGACGTGTGTGGCGCAATGTTGGATTGACGGGAAAAAAGTCTTAGAGATTAATATTGTAGATCCCTTAAGAAGAAGGTACCTATAATTTATGCACATCTCAGCAGATATTATTGTAGGCTGCATGTAAGTAAGTACGTTTATCAACAGGTCCCGACAGGAATCGACGAATAAAACTGTGAACGCTTTGCATAGTTTTGTGATATCGTTATCCTGAAAATTTTTCTATTATTTTGACCCACTTCGCCGATGATGAGTATATGTTTTTTATCCTATAATGATTGATATTGATGGGATCAATTCAGGAGAACCCGCCCGACAACCGGTGCACAATATTTACCCACATCGCGAATTATTTACCGTGACGAATAAACGAGGRCGATTTATCATTATTTTACACGAAAAATTATGCGCAAGAAGGCCATCATAGACTTCACGCTGTATTTATTTTGATGGAATATTATAGTAGCTGTCGTGGCCTACGCGAAATCGATGCGATAAATTGCTGAATATTATGTTATTCACCTATATATATATTATCATCTATTTTTCACTCGTACCTATATACATACGTGATCTCGTACTCACAAAAAGCGGAGTGATGGTTACGAATTTCGATGGATGATGGGTATAAGAAAATAAATACGAAATGCATTTCGGTTTCTTCCTGCACACTTATATATTATCATTGCTCTGTATACTATATTATGTTAACCTAACCGAGTTTGACGCGTAGTCGTTGGTTTTTAAATCCCACGGCGCGTTTATTTTTATATAATATTCTAACTTTCGATACAATATTATATTGCTATAACATGACCCACAAGGCCGCAGCGTTGTGTCCTGTACGAAATCATATTTTCGCGATTGTGCACTCGAAATCTCATCGGTTTCGCAAATTTGTTTTTCGATCGTTTTCGGTAAACTTCCTAACCTACATTTATAGACA